AATTAATCCCTACAAAGTATAACTAGTGCTAGCAATTTTAATCTTATATAAGATTTTATTAAGTATATCTATAAAGAAGGTATTTATAAAGCATATAAAAGAGAGCTAGATAATACTACCTCTTTATATTTAAGTAAATTACTATAGGTATTAATAGTAGAGGAATACTTTTAGCTTACTAACCTCCTCTTACGTAAGTAAATATATTCTAAACCTATTCTAAACATATTCCTAACTTATTCTTATATAATTAGAATATAAACCCTCTAAAGATACCTAAAACTAGGTAATCTATAAGAAAAACCTAGTAATTGCTACTAGGATTATATAATACTATAGTAAAATATTAAAAGAGGTATAGGAAAAACTAGAATCTTATTTAAATATAGCTAAGCAAGTAGGCTAGAAAGGATATAAAACTAGTAAGTATGTAAGTATTCTTAAGGCTACTTAGAAGTAAGTTTATAACCTATTCTTAACCTATTAGAATTATATAAGTAATATTATATAGTGTATACTAGATAGATCTATAGGATATAAAAGAGTTTAAAGCCTAGAGCAAGTTTAGAATACACTATAACTATAAAACTCCTAATAGGCTTAAGCAAAGGTACCTTAAAAAGCTTTAGAGGGGAGAAAGTAAGTCTTATACTAGTATTATATATATTTACTAATTAAAATATATTTAGAATATATTTAGAATACGTCCTATAATAATAATAATACTCTAGATAATAATAAAGCAAGTCTTACTATATCTAACTTAACTAGATATATCTTAGTCCTAATAAGAAATAAAAGAGCACGCTTAAAAGCCTAAAGCTAGAGGGCAAGTAGTAGAGTAGTATTAGAAAGAAGTTTACTAGCCCCTTTTCTATCTTCTTTACTACTAGGCTCTTCTCCTTTACTAATAGTAACCTAAAGGTATGCTTCGCGAAACATGTTTATAACATGTTCCTAACTTATTATTAGTCTATAACTATAAACTTTATAATAAAAGGCTCTTCTTAGTAATTAGGCTCTAAAGGAGAGAAAAGAAAAGCTAGAGGTAGATAAGGAAGAACTTGCATAGAAAAAGGCACTATTTAAATTGCAAAAGGCACAGTTTAAACTTAAGAAAGAGATAGCTACTTTTTATATAAGGTAAGGTTAGTCTATAAATATAGTAACTAGTTCCTAACTAGTTCTTAATATATTCTAGTCTATCACGTAAGCATATATAAGTAGATAAATATATATTCTTTCTTCTTCTCTTTCTTCTTCTTTCTTCTTACACTCTATAAGAACTTTTTATATTTAAGAGTTTAATACTATTTTACTATCTATCTTTCCTAATATTATTAGATATAACTAGTTAATATAGTCTATAAAGATCTTTTAAAGTTAGTATATAATAGAATATATTAGAAATATATTATAAACTTATTCTAATACTAAGTAGGATTTATACTAGTAATATATTAAGCTTAAGTTACTTCTATCTAATACTAGGGCATTCTCTCCTATAATATCCTACCTAAATAAAGGGTGTATAGTATTTCCTAGCAAGCTTTTCTACTAGGCTATTTAGGCTAGATTAGGGGTATAGGAACTTTATAGAGTATATATATATATAAGTTAGAATATATTTATAATATATTAATAACTATTTTAGCGTTACTTCTCTAATAGAGGTAATCTTATCTACTACCTTAAGAGGTATTATCCTAAGGTTTAAATAGCCCTAGTAAACTATAGTAGAATTATAATATAAGGTATTATAGAAGCAAGGATCTTCTATAGGAGCTTAATAGTAAATACTTAAGAATATATTCTAAATATATTAATAATATATTCTCTGCTAGTAGAGTAGACTATACTAAGTGCCTCCTCTAAAGTTTAAGAACCCTCTAAGATAGCTAGTCTATAATAAGAAGTAGTAGCTAGAGTAGAGGCTAAAAAGAAAGTAAAGAGTAAAGAAGAGGAGTAAATAGTTACTCCCCTTTATACTATAAATAATATTTAGCAAAAGTAGTAAAAAGGAGATATAAGTCTAGTCTCTTAAAATATATTTAGAATATATTAATAATATATTATAGCTAGACACCTATAAATACTAGATTCTTCTTTAATCTAAGGGACTACTAGAGCTTTATAATACCTATAAAAGTAAAAAGAAAAAGTTATATACTATTAAAGGACCCTATAAAAGTAAATAGTACTTTACTTTTAGTAGATAGAAAAAAAAAAAGAAGAATAAAGAGTTTATTTTAGTAATTACTACTACCCCTTTAGGTTATATACTATTATATATTATTTATTAGAACCTATTCTTAATATATTCTTAATATATTCCTACTTATTACTATTATTATCTCCCTCCCCCTCTCTAGTATCTTCTCTATCCTCCCTATCCTCCCTAGGCTCTACAAAAGCATACTACAAGTAGAACTAGGTAGTATTCTAGTAGGAATTAATAAGGTCTATACTAGTATTAAAGTAATAGTCTTAAAATATATTAGGAATAGGTTAATAATATATTATAAATAACTTACTATAGCTAGGATAATTATAAGTATAGATAGTATAAGGAACCTAATAACCTTAAATCCTTAGTAGGGTAGATATAGTAATAAAGTTAAGCTATAATAAGTTAGTAACGTGTTTTTAATAGGTTCTTGCAGGCTATACCTTATTACTATTATAGCTACTATAAGTCTTCTTCTAAATTATATTTAGGAGGGTATTAGTATTTACAGGGGGGCCTATAGTAGCTACTAGCTAGGCTTAGAGAACTTCTATAAAATATATTAGTAATAAGTTTTAAATATATTCTAAATAACTTATAGTAAGAAGTATTCTAGTAATTATATATAACCTTTATATAGAAGTCTATATATATTAGTATAATAAGTTAAGAATAGGTTAATAACATATTTACTCTTTACCTTACAAACCTCCCTTATAAAGGGCTAGCTAGTTTTCTTAACCCTACTAACCTTATAGTAAGCTATATTAAGCCTATAATCTTTTTTAGTATAGGTATATAGAGTGCCCCTAGTACCTAGAATAGCCTAAGAATATTAGAACCTATTTAGAATATATTTAGAACCTATTCTTACTCTATATAAGGTACCCTTATTATTAATCTTAGTATAGTAGTAGCGCTCTCTACTCTCTATCTTAACTACCCTATTAGGGCTAACTATAGGCTATACCCTAATATTATCTAGGATATAGCTAAGGGTAAGGTACTATTAATAGTGCTTCTATAACCTATTAAGAATATATTCTAAATATATTTTAATCTACTTATATAGGATATAAGGGATACGTTAGTAATAGGTATAGTAGTAGTAGCTTATAGTATTACTAGTATAGAATATATTTAGAATAGGTTTAGAATATATTATAAAATCTTATAGTATAATATTTAGTTAACCTTGCTTAGCTAGCTAGTAGAGCTTGGTATAGCCTAACCCCATGCTAAATACAAGTTCACGCAGCGCTAATTCCATGGTCATATGAACTGCGCCCTCGCCCACGCCCACCCGCCATGTCCACCATGTCCAACACGCCCACCACAGTCAGTAGCATACGTACAGTACGCACAGTACAATACAGTACAATACAAGTGCCGGGGTAAGCCAGGCCAGCCAGCTATGTCATCCTTGGCGCAGGCTGCCCACCGGCCCACCACCTGCCACTGACCACCACTGGCCACCACTGGCCACCACTGCTGCCCACTTTGATGTGGCCCACCACCAAACTCATCTACTACCCTCTACCCACTACTACACCCACTACTACACACACTACTACACACACTACTACACACTCCATACTAAGTGTATTGTTTGCATCACGCCCTCTCTCTGTGCCCACGCGTTCTACGGTAGTCCCGTCGTATTTGCATACAACACACACACATCCGTACTTCGCACACCTCCCCCCGGGCCATCTTCCCTTGAAACCGCATCCCCCCATCCTC